GCAGCGGCAGCGGCAGCGGCAGCGGGATGGGGATGTGAGGCGGCGCGGAGCCATGTCGGGGTGCGCGTGGGGCGCGGCGCCGCCGCTGCTGGAGGCGCTGGGCCGGCTGTGGGAGGTGCAGGCGCCGCTGGGCAGCGGCTCCTCGGCCTCGGTGTACCGGGTGCGCTGCTGCGGGGACCCGCGGGCCCCCCCCGGCGCCGTCAAGGAGTTCGTGCCGCCCCCGGGGCCGCGGCCCGGCCCCGCTCGCCGCCCCGGCGCCCGCCCGCCCGCCGCCGACTGCGCCGAGTACGGGTTCCGCAAGGAGCGCGCCGCGCTCGAGCAGCTCCGCGGGCACCGCAACATCGGTAACAGCACCGGCACCGCGACCCGGGCACCCCAAACCCCCGCACCCCGGCAACCCCCACGTCCTGGCAATCCCCACGCCCCAGCACCCCAACCCCGACACCCCAACCCCGGCACCCGGCAACCCCCACAGCTCGGCATCCCCCGCCCCTCGGCCCCCCGCCCCGCAGCTCGGGCACCCCCCAATCCTCAAACGCCTCTTCTCGGGGACCCTCGCGGGCACCCTCTGTCCCTATAGCCCCCACCTCTCCATCCCCCCCCGGGCAAACTGGTGTCTCCAAGCCGGGGAGGGGAACCCCCCCGCTCCTTTGGGAATACGGGCATCCTCGCCCCCAAACCTACCCCCGCTGGCAGGGCATTGTGCCTTTTGGGTTGGCACCCCTGGGTGGGCAGGTTTGAGGGCCCTCAGCCTGGGTGCCCCAAAGCAGCCTCGCTGTGGTGGGTGCTCTTGGTACCTCAACCCTTACCTGGACACGGGGTCTGCAGGGGATGTCCCCAGAGTGGGCAGGAGAGACAGACATCACCCTTTGTGTGGGCAGAGAGGGTCACTGCAGGCAGGGCACCCCTGAGTCCTCCTTTGGGCAGGGTGCCAGAGCTGCCCTGGCAAGAACCATGCTGCCTGTGGGGCAGCAGTGGGACAGTGTGTGCCTGCTGGCCTGCCTGGTCTGGGCTGGAGCTCCTGGGCTGCCTCCACAGGTGGGAATGAGTCTGGGAAGGGAGGAAGCCTGTGTATTTGAGGTGGCTGCTGGAAGTACCCTAGTTCACCCACTGATGCTATTTTTTTGTTTGTACGAAATATTTTTTAATGCCATAATGTGCCTGGACACCCAGACAGAGCTTGGGTCCCACTGTGCAAGATTTATCATGGGAAAGAGATCAGCATGTCTCAAAAAGAGTGGCACTACATCCAGTTTGCCCCCCCACTTATCCATGTCCCCAGTTGTCCTGAGCAGGAGCACCCAGCCCTGTCTCTTTAGCAAAGCCTGGTGGGGTGTTGTGAGACCGGCCTGTCCTCTGAAGCCTGTAGAGGTGAGAGGGCTGGTTTTCCCTTGCTGCTTCCCTCCGAAGCATGATTCTCCATCCCTCTGAACATCACCCGTTACAAAACAGCTGGGCTGCCCCCTGCAGCTGTGGTGGTGTGCAGTGGTGGAAGGGGATGACCGATGCCTGTCGCTGTGTCTCACTGCAGTGACTCTGTACGGCGTGTTCACCAACCACTACTCTGCCAACGGCCCGTCTCGCTGCCTGCTGCTGGAGCTGCTGGACATCAGTGTGTCCGAGCTGCTGCTGCACTCCAGCAACCAGGGCTGCTCCATGTGGATGATCCAGCACTGCGCCCGAGACGTTCTGGAAGCCCTGGCTTTCCTGCACCACAAAGGCTACGTGCACGCAGACCTCAAGCCACGCAACATCCTGTGGAGCGCAGAGGAGGAGTGCTTTAAGCTCATTGACTTTGGACTTAGCTTCAAAGAGGGGAATCAGGTTTGGAATGTGCTACTCTTGAAGCAGATGGCTCTGTGTTGTGTGGCTCTGTGATGCTTTCAGGTCATGAGTGTAGGACTTGACGTGACCTGATCAGAGTAGCTAAGCTGGTGCTGAGGGTTTCCTGGAAAAGGCTAAAATGTTGTCTGGCCCCAGAAACAGAAGCTCATGTTCCCATCTCCTTGCATGTCTCTGGTTTCTGTTGATGGCTTAGCCTTTGTACTACAAATTCCAGAGTTAATGATGCACTGAGAGAAGTGGTGTCTCAGCTTCTTGGGAAGTTTGCTAGTTTTTGCATGGTCAGTCCAGTGGGAGCACCCAGAAATGCAGAATTTGCTTTTATCATCCCTTATCATGGGTAGTAGGAGTCCAGGCTTCACCATTAGCTTCCCCAGTCAATTGTGTTATCTCTGGCAGTGTCCTTGTGCTTGTCTTTACCCTAGCTTCAGCAGCTTCCCTTTTTCAGGAAGTCTGGATGTTTCTTTCAAGCCCATGCTCTGGTTGCGGGTGGGCAGTATCTGTTCTTTACCGACATGGACAATCTCTGCCTGTTCTACTCTGCTTCTCTCATTTGCTGAGCTTTCTCTCTCTCCTTGCTGTCACTTTTTCGTTTTGGTGATACTGAGTTTTCTAAGTTTGTTCTTGTCCACTTTATTCTCTGTGGCTTCTCATGGAAGCAGAGAGCCTCAGGAGGTTCTGCTGTGGGCTTGATAGAGCTTCCTTTCACCCCTCTCTCTCTCAGTAAAGCTTTTCCATCAGGTAGCTTCATAGAACATTTACCTGTGATCATTGGGTGATGGATTTTTTCATTCAAACTTTGTCCTGGCTTGTCCCCATTCCGTCCATGCTTCTCTTTTAGAGGTTTTAAGTTAATAGACTTTTTTATACTGATTTACCTGGTATTAACAGTACAGCTCACTGATTGTGAATATCAGAGGGTTGTGTGGGTGACCTGTCTCTGAATTCTTTGGTACAGAAGCTGTTTTTAATGTTTGGGCTTCTTAACTCCTCCATGTTGTCTTCAGTTCTCCCACATTCTTGGCTGAGTTTGTGTTGGTAATCTGTTGCTGTCTATCAGCAAAATACATGCTCCTGGTGTCCTGTGTCTAATGCACATATTTTTATTTAATTCAGGTCTGTGTTTTGCTGCTTGCTCTGTGAGTTGCCTCGTAATAGGTGATCAGTTGTTTTATTTGCTTCCATGGTTCCTTCCAATCTGCTTTCTTTGGGCTGTTTCCTTTGCCCTTTCTCACAAACACAGTGGCTGCGTGGGGTGAACCGTCTGACCCTGCTTTGCATGTGCGCCAGGTATCAGCGTCTCCTCCCACCCCTGCCTTGGGCAGCAGCCTAAGTGCATGATTTCCTTATCTGAGTCAAAGACCATGCTACTTTTATGTATGACAGTCCTGCCAAGCTTATCCTTACGTCAAGTTTCCTGCCATTACTGTTTTAACAGAGAATGGCTGTACATACAGCGAGGTCTCAACCCCCTGCAGCTCTCAAAATGCTTTAGGTTGTAGGAGTGACATTCCATCTCACTCTTTTCCCTG